CCAGAGAACGACCCTTTTTCGAAGTTAATGGCCAGGAAATCGTATATTTTTTCGACTCTCCGCATCTCCTCAAAAGTACTAGAAACTGTTTGGAAAACAAGAAAAATAAAGTAACTTTTCAAGGCCGCCCTATAGATTGAATGGATATTGTGCATCTCTATGAACAAGGGTCTCAATATGATATTTCCTGTACCCATAAACTTACCTCGGCACATACTAGACCTAAAACCTTTGATAAAATGAGCGTTCATTTAGCATCGCAGGTCTTTAGTAACTCTGTGGCAAGCGCAATGTTTGCTATCTATAGCTCGGGGCTTTTAAATAGTTTAAGATCCCCTTCCTTTTTTAACACTGCCGAATTTGTCCTTTTCTTTGACAAATTATTTAATATTTTTAATAGTATACACTTTGGGGATGTAGGAAATTTCAAACAACCCTTTGAAGCTACTGTAGACCAACTTACTTTTCTTGACGAAGCCGAACAGTTTTTGAATTCCAATAAAGTTTACGACGACTTAGGTCGCGATATTACCAATACGTATAGTTTTATTAAAGGTTGGCTCCTAAATATTAGTAGTTTACGTCGTTTGTGGCGATTCTTATCACATAACGAATTCACTTTTTTATTGACACGTAAATTATGCCATGGCAAAATTAAAATTTTGTTGGTCATATTCGTAGAGGGGGGGTCCATTGATGTGAGAATAACGCCGCAGCGTTTCTCATATCTCTTTAGGCAAGCCTGGGGTATAGGTACGGTGACCATCCGTTCTGTTTTATGCAGGACCGTACTGTTTTTCAAAGGTCGGTCCTGCGTCGTTTTTCAAACCTGAAAAACTTCAAAATGTACTGATTTTTTCCAAGTGTCCTGCATTTGTCCCGCATTTTATTCGTTATTTTAAAATTATCGGACAATGGATGGATTAAAAAAAAAGTGTTTTTTGGTACTTTTCGTAGCTTTTCTTTAATATCTCATGAAAAAATCTCCCAATCAACGTAAGCGACTTACAGCTCGAAGGGTATGGATGTGCCTCTTACCAAAATATATAACTTGAGGCGACTTCAATGAAAATTATTAGTGCTACAGGCGACCATTTGCATTTTGTCGTCAAAGTCGAAAAAAGTGAGATTTTCAATCAAATACGCAGTTTCATTTGATTATTTTTTTTTCATTATTTTAAAAATTCGATAAAAAAGATATATCATTACAGTAAATTTTGAGCCAAAGATAATGAAAATCGGATTAGAAATGTAGATGCTATGGAGCGCAATCTGCACAAATTATATATTTTTGTAAAGGGCATTTTGTAACTACTCGTCGTTCACGTCGATTTTTAACAAATAACTGCGAAAAGTTCCAAAAAACAAAAAAAGAAGGGTATTGATTTCGTTTTGAACGACTAAAAATTTGCCTATAAAATAATCTTTTAAAGATTTTCACTTTTCGTGTAAGCTATTGTAATTATAAAATGTTTTACTATGCTTTTATAAATATTCATGTAAAAAAAAATTAATATATTAAAGTTTAAAATGTAATAAGAATTTAGAATCATTAATACTCTTTTGATATTTTTATACTACGTAAATATATGTAGGCATATTTTTGAAAAATTGTCCTTCATTTTGAATCCATATTTATGGTCACCGTAGGTATAGGGTATATTAGATGCGTAGATAAAGGGAACTGTGAACTCTTGTCTGAAGATAAGTGGGAATCATTTTCTAATAGCACCCTTATTACAGCTTGTGACGATGTTTTAGTCAGAGATACTTCCTGGCAAATATTTCAAGGCTTACCCAGGCCTAGTTTAAGCTCATTTCAAGATGTTCAAATCGATATTTCGGTTGATATTGATGAAAGTAGTTTCCTTCATCGAAGCGCTTTTGTTTACTTCTGCGGCTACATGTATTTTAAATATTTCAAGCATCATAATTGCTTTATGCCATTACTAAGGTTTGAAGATGGAATTACTGAAAAAGATTTCTTCTTCACTATGGAGAAGCACTTTAGTAATAGCCATCTTGTTAATCCTCCCAAAGTCCGAATCCGTCTGAAAAACAGGGTTTTATCGGTTTGGGTGTCTTTGTAGTATTTTTTTAGTGCTGGCCCTATATCCACACCACATCTATTTTTATTATTATTTACTTTGTTTGTTAGCCTGTCACTTTCAGGGCAGTTTTGTAAATACTGTGTAAATATTTTGTAAAATATGTATCTGTAAAATTCCGTACCTGAATTGTAATACAAGTATTATTTTGTTTATTTGTTTTTTGTTGCAAGCAGTATTATTTAGTCGTTCTCTTATTTTTGATTATGTATTTGTATACTTATTTATATATGTACATCATTACCTTAACAAAGAAAAGCCTCAACTAATTTTCCAGCTTTAAAAAAGTATTACTTTTGTACACATTAAATCGCTAAACAAATTAGCCTTTAATAAAATTTTAACTACATATATATATTTTTTTTTGTTAAGGTAATGATATTTATTTTATATGGGTGAAAATAGGCCTCCTGGGGAACCGAACACCTTAAAAAAATCGGTAACGCGTCTGTATTGCTACCTCAGTGGGGGTGTGGAAGAGCAATAAGAATTTAAATAAATATATTTTTATCAGAAAATACAAATGTACAAAAGTGTAATAGGTTGTTTTTTTCAGGGACCGAAAATAACTTATGGATTTAAAATTCACTTGATTATAGATTGGTTCTTCGATAATCCAGCAAGAATTACTCACTCCTCAAAATATCAGAGATAATCACTCAAAATATCACCAGATAACAATTATTTTGTGAAAGAAATAGAACTCTTGGTGTATATAAGTATTGTTTATTGAACGCGAAATAAAATTTAAACATATTCATTAAGAATGATTTTTGGCTTACAACTTATAAGTGCCATGACCCCTGTTTTTTATTAACACTCCATTTGCATTTGGAATGCACCTAATCGCTTCCACCTTTCCTACTTTAGTCAATAAAAATATAAAAAATTTTAACAAGCCACAATAACATTGACAAATACATAGTTTAGGAAGAGCCTGCCTGAAACTATACAAAAAAGCAAATAAGCAAATGGATGTATAGAATTAACAACAACAACCACGCTGTCGAGTTTAAATAGCGGCAAATCAGCTGCACTTGATAGTAGTTGGTTGAATAAGGAAAATGAATTAGCAACAAGAGTTTACGGGATGTACATAGCTCAGTGGTTAACGCTTCTGACTTTGAACATCGAATTCGCAGGTTCGATCCCTGCTGAAGTCTAGAAAAAAAAAGAAGTCTGATGAGGAGATGTGGTGATCTCCGAAATAGTGCTATAACTTCTACCGCTTAGACTTTGTTGCTTTTTAAATTTTTCCTAATAAACAATCGTGGTACAAAGCTCAATAAAAATCAATGGTTTGCTTAACACTATAAAAAGTTGTCATCTTGACTGCACTCAATTACTTTTCTACAGGTTCCCAATTCTTTAGGTCAGATCAATTTGCAATTTGCATTTAACATAATGTAAATTATTAACGTACATAGTTTAAAATACAAACAGATATACATACGCATGTACATCGGCGTAGCCAGAATGAAATTTAGGGGGGGGGGGGGGGGGGGGGGGGGG